CAGCAGGAAGCTGGAAAATCAAATTGTCTTTGTTTGTAGCTTGAAAATGTTCAGGCTTTTTACTTTTATTCAAGATGAGAGCCAGCCTTTTCATGGTTTTGTGGAAAGTCGGAAGGAAAAACTGTGTCTGCTGATGCATCACTTTGCAGTTCTGTAGCTTACATTGCACTGTTGATGTAACATTTCCTGCTAAATTTGCTTTATGATGAGATGCTTGGTTCTCATATAATTTGGAAAAATTGAAATATAGGTATAAGTAGGATTTTGATTTTTGTTTACTGCCCATTAACTTGTTGGGAAAGGGCTTTGAAGGTAAGTCCTTTTTTCCAATCTTTCTGCTAAACTGTTAGGCTAATATGGCTTAGACTATGCTTCAGTCCTTAGTTCTTCATATTACCATTCTGAAAACATGAGCTTCAGAAGAAGAGCCTCAGCATACTGTGTTCTTTACAGCAAATACATTTTTTTGGGTGAGCCAAGACTGTAAAACATTGCTACAATAGCTGTGAAAGCTGTTCTCATCCGAATCACAGCGTGGGAGAGTAAGGTGTAGATTGACAAGCAGTCTTTATTGACTAGCACTAATAAAATTACTGCTTATGTGCTGTCCTCAAACTCTTTAATAGCTGCACACTAGTTAAATTTCTATAATTATCTGCCCTGCAACCTACTAAACAAATGTAGTGGTGTGCCTGTAGATTAGTGGCAAGAGATAAACTGAATTTAGAAATCTGCCATTGACTGTATAAAAAAATATTTGTGAAGTTACAATAGTAAGTCAGGCCTATTAAGCAGATTATGAATGTGTCTGTCACTGACATTCATTTAAACCTTTTTGAGCAAGCTAGTTACATGCTAACTTTCTTGGTAGGCAGATACTCATTTGATCAGGGTACTGCTCGTAGTATTTTTATTTGGAGGTTATTGTCCTCTTTAGCAATGAGCTTTAGTTAAGTCAGCATGCCATGTTTGCCAGCCTAAACACCTGTGAAGAGCATTGCCTTGTTTCCTGGAGAGCTCTGTTTAAGTTTCAGTGATCATTAAATCAAGAGTTAATTTAACATGGAAAAATGTAATAGTGGTTTGAAAGAGGAAGTTCTTGTTGTTGATCAGGTATCATATGTGGGTTTGTGTTCATAGCAGTAGCACATTACCAGGAAGTAGATGATTCATTTAAAAAAAATGTAAATTCTGGGTAGGGAAGATGCAGAAATGAGCTTCCTCCTAAATTTATTAATATTTTTTAAAGTGGTACAAAATTATTCCTGTTTACTTGCTTTTGAAAAAAAAGTCCTGAACTGTTTCCCTTAAGTTCATACTAAATTGAGCCTCAGAGAATAATTAAGACACTTTAATTTGCTAGAATTTCATGGTATACAGATAAATTGAAATGATTTCTTCATTCTTGAGGCATTCATTTTAGAAATATTCATGTTAGTTTAGACTTTATATTATATGAAGGGTATACACTGCATGGAAACCTTTCTTTTTCAGTGGGTGATTTTCATAAGTGAATCAGCAGACACTCATGTTTGCACAGAAGTCTGGCTCTTGCTGCATCATCTCCTGGGTTTGAGGCGTCTGAGGCTGGTGATTCGAGTGGATGGTGTATCTGTAGTGCTGAGTCTACCAAAAAAACATTTATCTTTCTTCTGTGTCTCAAGCCTTTCTTAGATTATTCCAGCTTTATCAAGTTGTCATTGCTACTAGTCCAGTGCTTTTTTCTTGGATCTTTTCTGGTTTGATTGATTAATATTTTTACATAAAGCATACAGGATTAATAGTAGCCCCCCTCAGATTCCTTTATTCTTCTTTGCTCATCTCACAGTGCCTTCTTCTATTCCGAGTTCCGTATCTTACCAAAGTGATGTATTAAAATAGCTTTGCTTTTATGTACTCATTATGGGAAAGTTCGACATTTGTGTCTCAATCCAAACTAGGAAAAACAACAACTGTTGTTGTAACAATGCATGCAACAGAGAGAATGAATAACCCTTTCCTCACATAAATATCCAAGTCATGCACCTAATGCAGCAGAAGATGCAATATGAAGTCTCTGACTTCATAGGGTTGATACTAAAACTGTGTGTGCATGAAACCACTTCTGATAACTTAGCATAAAGAAGCTTTTCAAACAGATGCTTTATCCTTTGTGAAGAAATATGTAGGCATTTTCTCAGTTCTCTTGTTCTTTTTCCTTTTTTCCCCCCTCATTTTCACAGTATTTCAGAAGGTTTAGGGAGCTTTTCATCCTGTTCCTCTAGAATGTAACTTTTAATGTAAATGTAAATGTTTGAAATGTTTTAATGTAAATGTAGCATGACAATTTCCTGTGGTAGTGGACAGAAGTAGCAAAAATTACATGCTAGCTGCCTTGAAAGGTGTTATTTTCTGTATTTCTGTTAAGCTAAGACAGCTTGACAGTTAAAAATCTAATCTTGTTTTACTTGTAGATTCAAGATGCTGCAAGTCGAGGCTTGAAATTTGTTGGACTTATACCTCAGTACTGTTCCCAGAAAGACTGTCTTGTCAGCACCTCCCTGACACCTGCCTGTAACGACTCTGTGCAATCAAAAGATAATAAAAATGTTTCAAATTACCCGGACGATCATGCTTCACCGGACCGGGAGAAAATAGATGGCATTAATGGATGCAGTACTCCAGCACTGAGTGAGGAAAGTGGTGACCAATGTGCCACATCCAGGGACAGCTGTAGAGGTGAAGGACAGGGAACTGAAGAGCTGAATCTCAAGTCTGTGAAGGGAAATGAAGAAGAGTTTGAACATGGGAACCCAAGTGTCGCAGAAGCAGCAGACAAGCCGAATGGACTTGCAGAGAATGAAACACCAGCACGATGCTTGAAACCACTTACTGGCAGTAAGTATTGTAGTGACCTTTCATACATAAAAGCCAAGTCAAAATTGCCTCACTTATGTTCCCAGCTCCTCTGGGAGTTGGAGATGTGGGGAGGACCTTACCACTGTACTTAGCAAAGAAAAGATGCACCAAATGAGCCACTTAACCTGATTTCACATGGTTACAGAGTTCATAGCAACTGTGTAAGTCAGATGGCAAAGGCAGAGATTATATAAGCAGGTGCAATTTTGTTATGGCCCATTTGTGTACCTGAGTGTAAAGACTTATTTTTGTTTACTGTTCAGCTGAACTGGTCCATTTCTGCATTTGTTGTGATACCCTGAGAGCTCTTGATCTTTGTATCCTTTTTATCCATTTGAGCAAAAAGCTCTGCAAATCTGCCTGGCAAGGTTTTGCAACAATAGAAGGAATAAGTCACAAGGCCTTATTGCAGTTAGCCTGTTAGTAGCAGGTGAACATACAGCTGAAATTAAACAACCTCAGGAGGAGCAGGAATATTATGTGATCTGTACTCTGACGTCTTGTGGTATTCTACAGTCAGGGTGGGGGCAGTACTACAGTCAGACTCATAATTACTGGAAAGCAGCAGTTATTTTTGTTAATGGCTCATGTTTGCTAATTCATAGTAAAGGACCTCTTGGTTATGGTTCCCCTAGTAATTTTTTTTCCAATTCTCATATTTTTGTAAGATTATTCTTCATATGCACTCTTTATTTCTTTTATTTCTTTGACATATATCTCCTCAGGTGTGTTTTTCATTTTTAAATGTCACTTTATGCTCTTTAAATGTCACTTATGCCAAGTCTCAATTGAGGTCTTCAAAATACCCTCTTTGAGGTCTTCAGAATATTCTCCTTTAAGGTCTTTGTTGCTCAGAGGTTACTCCAGTAGCAGGAATTATACTTCCAAACAGGATGTAGAACAGAGTAATTTACAAAATGAAAAGTCATCAGAAAAACGTTTTCTTGACCCATTTTCAGTTTAAACCTCAAAATATTTTTCTTTCCTATAATTTGCTTAGATCTTAGAAAGCAGTGTGTGTGGTAACTTCTCTTAGCACTTTGCTTACTTTCACTTACAAGCTACAAGGAAATTCCATCCCCAACTCCAATGTGTAAGGAAATTCCATCTACATTCCTTTCAGCTGGTACTGTCCTTGACTTTTAATTATCGTTATTCTTTTATGTCTTACATAGATTCAGTCAAACAATCCTGCCGCTTTGGGGATTTCTTATATAGAACCAAGAATAACTTTGCATTTAACCCTCCTTGGACTATTGTCTTGGTTTCTGTTGCATTTCGGTGTCATTAGCTTTTTTGCATCAGATTTGGATCACACTCTAGTGACCTTTCATCATACTTTCTTCAGTTTTTTGAGGGACAAGCAGACAGCCAGATTTGGTCAAAGCATAACTATTATTTGAAAAATTTGTTCACTACAATCTTACACCATCTAAAACCTCTCTTAGTTCTATAATTCTAAATTAGTCATCTCCCAAGTCTAATCAAATCAGTTCTTTCTCTTTTTATCAAGTTTAATCATCTTTTTTTTGCTATTCTTCTCTATACTGAGCAGTGGAAATCTTTCTGCTTAATGTGAAGCTGATCACCTCCAATATTCTCAACTTCTATCATCTGTAACACCCCAGAATTTTATTACAACTACTGATTTGCCAGAAAAGAGGTTTAATTAAAAAAAATAAGAACATTGTTTTATTTGCTTTCTTGCTTTCTTGCTTTCTCTGCTTTCTGGCTTTATTTATTTCTCATACAGTTTTTTATTTGGTAAGTTATGCAGATACTTTCAAAGACTGAAGGTCTGAGAAGGCAGTTTTATGTGACAGTTCACTTTTAGTAGGATTTTCCCAAATTTATTGCCTGTACAACATTGCTGGTTTCTTTATTACTCTTGTATGAATTTTTGTTATTACAGCACTCCCTTTTCCTCCCATGGAAAATGTATTTAAGTCTTTGGCACTGGTTCTCCATCCTCTTTTGAGAATATGAAGATAGAAAGCATCAGGTGGTTTGGGTTTCTTGGTTGTTTTTTTGCGTTTGGGGGTTTTTTTGGGTTGGTGGTTGTTTGTTTTTTTGTTGGGCAGCTGGTGTTGGGTTTGTTTGGGGTTTTTTTGTTGTTTTTTTCCAGTTAGCCTACTTATTCCATAGGAAGTTGCCACTCTTGAACTCCTTCTTCTCTACATAAAACTTCAGGAGAAAAATTAATATTTCTTGCTATTTGTGGAATCTTAATTTTGTTCTATAATTTTTGGTTTTATACTATTCAAGTTTTATTCTTCTGTTGCTTTTTTTCTGAATATTTTGTAGTGCTCTTTTTCCCTTTTAATAAGGGACTCTTGAAAGCAGTGTTGAAAATTATATGTCTGTGAACAAGGCACAGATGTTCCAATGGTGTGTGCAAAAGTTCTGTGTTACCTAGAACCAAACTGAAGGTGTCTTTGTCCATGCTTGAGCAGTTAAGTTTGCTGATGAAAACTGTTGTCAATAGTGACTTGAGCATTAGTTAGGGCTGGTATGCTTTACAACCAGTAATGGTGCCAAACCAAGTCAGCCACTGAAAGATTTGTACACGTTTCATATCCATGCTGTTAACAGCCCAGTGTCAAATCCAAATTCTCATCTCCCTGTCTGTGGCTTTCCAGTTCCATGATTTGCTCTTGTTCATACAATGTCTTCATATACACCAAAAAGCGTGAGTCAGTTGTGGGGCTCAGAATCAGAACCATCATTAAAGTTTTCTATGTATGCTCTTCTAAGTTAAGATTATAATAATTTCATTATTTCTAAACAAGTGGTTAGCAGAAAGAGGATTCGTGTTGACAATTAATTCCTTTCTACTCTATTTGTATCATGGTTCATGCCAGAGATCATTATGCCTCTTTCTCATGTTTGGTTAAATCATGGGCTTCCTGCTGTCCAAGTGCTGCCAGACTGTGTCTGAGCATCAACCTTCTCATGTATTTTCAATTTACACTCTACTTCTTGCTCATTGATATTTGTCAGAGCAAACTTAACATTTCTCTTGACATCTCTTTCTTTACTCTAATACTTGAGATGAGAATATAATAACTTAGAAACAAGAGGAACCTACTGAATGAATGAATTTCATTTCATATGTCTTTAACTTTTATATTAATTTCTTTTGGGAGAATTTTTTACATTGGAAGTCAATAGAAATTTTACAATTGATTTCCATGTCCATCATTAAGTAAAACAATAATGTAAAAAATTTTTGTCAGTCATTTTATTGATGAGAATTTGGAAGGTAGATCTGCACTTAAATTTGCTTCCAGTTTTAGAGCTGTGAAAGCTCAGCTTTGCTGTCAACAATGTCTTTTTTGTAATGGAAAGCCTGTATTAATTGCTCCTATGATATGCTAGGAGAGACATGGAGCAAAGTCTATAAAATCTTCTCATTTGTAAGTGTAATTCCACTTTCAAAATTCATTTGCTGTTGTGTTAGTGTCTCTAACCTTGGCTTAGACCCGAAGTAAATCAGCAAACCATCCAGTATAGTTTCTATGTTAAAGATCTACAGGAGGCAGTTCCTCCTAAATTTACACTAAGATTTCCTATTTGAACTGTCCTCAGTTTCACAGCTCTTTTAGCAACTCATAGCATCATAAAATCATTCAATAGAAAAATAAAGGTACTCTGTGTGTTAATTTTTAGTGATTTTTTTGACTGCTACAGTACTTAAAGCAGTTTGTGAATCATGTTTTCCTATCTGGTTTACACTGATAATTCCAGTAGGGGGATTGTCTGTTAGTACCCAGGTATTAGTGTCTTTTAAATGTTTTACTATCAACACGGAGTCCATTATTAGTAACAAACATTGTTGCATCGAAATACTGTGTTGGGTTTTGGGACCCTCTTGTGTTGAACACTGAAGAAATGTGTTAAGGAGATAACCACAACCCCAAGTATCTCTGTAGTTGCACAGTGTAATTAGGAAGGAGCAAACAGTGGGTTATACATTGTTGTAGCTGAAATATGATTATACAGTTGTTGCATTACCCCCTTTTTTACTTTTTGGTAGAAAGAGAGATCTTCATTCTCTTCAACAAGCCAAAAACCCCACAAAGATGCAGCCAATATTATACAGTGACTATCCCTATGAGGATCTCCAGGAATGGGCAGACTGTCAACAGCTTAGAAGCAAACTGGCTGGAGCACATGACAGACCACTTCAGGAAAGGAGGCTCACTGGTAAACGCCATCTTCAGCCTTGGAATGGTAAATGGTATGGAAATTACAGAAAGCATTACACTGTGATTATTTTCCTTTCTCCTCTAATAAAGGTCATTATCTTTGAAGAGAAGACATTTGGGAGGTGCTTAAATGTAGACTTGGGGCAGATTTGTTTTAGAACCGCCTATTTCAGTGAAATGGAATGAAAGCACAGAAAATATTTTGGCAGTTGAATAAGGAAAACAGATCATGTATTGTATTTTATAAACAGACTAGAGATGATCCTGTAATTGCAGTAATATACAGAGTTAATAAACTGTACCAAGTAAAATGAATTAAACTAACAAGATTGCAAAGCAGATGACTTAAATGGAAGAGTGGCTTTCTTAACTGTCTGGACATGCACTGTGTCTGGCTCCAGTTGCAGGTCAGGTTAAGGACCCCCCAGTTTCATCTGGCCAACTAGTCAACTAGTCCTTCCAGAGACCATTTCCACCTTGATGGCACAATGTTTTACCAAATTGTCTTCTATGTTTGTTTTATCCTAGCTAGTGTGTTCATATGAGTGATGAATAGATTTTATTCTTGCTTGAAGAATGTAAAAACTCAGATATGTTGTGAAGATGTGACACTGAATCCAGCTTAATACTATAGCCAGTCTGTACTATACTGGCCACCATGGTGTCCCTGAAGAGAGTCTTGCTCTACAAAGAAAGACTGATGCATAATAAGAATCTGAGAGACATAACCAAGGAATCAATCATAAGAGCAAACAAAGGGAAGTACTTGAACATAAAAAAGTTGAAGTTACAGCCAGATTAATTATACTAAAAAAAATGTGACTACTCTTATTTCATGGTTAAAGTGCTTATGGCTGAATCTTTCACCTGATTTTGTTTTGCATTCATCAAAAGGGTTGTGGTAGCCCATAGATTGGGCACTGCTACTAAGATTAGGGGGTTTGCACCTCAAAATTATAGCTGCTTCCAGAGCATCTTCTCTCCATTTTGGTGCTGGTCAGAATTCCAGGACCCATGAAAAAACACTGTAATATGAGTCAATTCTGGAAAAAGTCAATCAAGAAATTAACAAGCAATCCTAATTTTTCATTTTGCAAGCAAGTAGCAAAAAAGGAAGGTCTAAAGTTCAGCTGATGGAATGCTTTCACACAGCTTCCTGGAAAGCTTTGTAATTGCTAGTTAACTTGCTTAAAAACAAATAGTCATTTACTTTATGTGTATAAATTGCAACTCATAGAGGCAAATCTAATTGGCTCTATCAAGCTTAATGTTTTCTTTAATAAAAACTCCTTATCAGTGTACTCAAAAATGCTTTAAACACAGCATTTTTCTGTGATTTAAACTTCTAAAGTTGATTTACATAACAGAGGCCTGGGGGAAGCTCATGTACTTGGATACCAGAGTGTGGAGTGTTGGATAACTGCCTGCAGACATAGATAAAGTAGACCTCAATCAGGACAGTAATTTTCTAAGCAAACAGGACAACAAATTGTATAAAAATGGACAGATTCTGGATTAAGTTAGATTAGAGATTGAAGATGAACAGTTAATATAATTTTTGTTTGCATTTTACAGTTACAGGAAGAACAGGCTTAGAAGTCAAAAAGTTCAGAGTTAATGTCTCTGGAAGTGTATTAATTAGAGCAGTTAACATACCCATGCTAAAAGAAGAACATTTGCTAAGAACATCTGTAAGTTGCTGTCAGTTGCAGTTAAAAGTTTATGATTTAAATCCTAAATTTTTTCTTTGCTGCAGAGAAATGGAGCAGCTTTTTCACTCATATGCCAAGCAGTATGAAACAACCCAGAATAGGGAGGAGGGAAGTAAGAGAGGGCTAAGGGCTTCTCTGCTCTTTCCTTTTGTCTAGTCTTTTATGGCAGCCTATCCAGCTCTTCATAGCTGGTCTCCTTGTTCACTGGTTAATCCTCTTCCAAATTAAGGTAATATTAGCATAGTTTCTTTAATTGGTTATATCACATTTCTTTGTTCTGGGGCTCATTTTGTCTTTGGCATAAAGTACAAATTCATTATTTTGCTTATTAGACTTAAAAACAAGGTTATTATTTTCTTCTTTTCCCCCTTGTCCTTGGAATGCCCAATGATGTGAAGATTTCCAGATTGTCAGTAGTCATAAATCTGTTTCTTCCTTCTGCCAACAGTTTAATAATTACTCTTTGAGAGAGTTTTAAAGTTCACTGATAACAATTGTTTCTTTTTGCTTATTAACCAGATAATTATAAACAGAAATGTAACACAATTGCAAATCACAATGTGTAAACCATGCAGGGCTACACCATATATTAAATGTATTCAGATTTTGCAAGGAGGTTAGAAGCAGCAGCTTGCTTAGTCCTTGAGTCTTCTTGTGTTGACAAATAAGTTATTTAAATTTGGAGTTCAGTAACTTGCTGGTGTTTTTTATCCAACTCATGTCATTGCTAATTCTGCTTGTAGTCCCAGGTGTAAACTGATCCTGCCTAGTGATCTAAAGTGATCACAGGACTTCACCCTTACCTTCTAATGAGAACTGTATCAGCAAGTTCCATATTAATACCACTGCAAATGGAAAGGATGTAACAAGGTGGGGTGTCTTTCTTTCCCTCTAGCAGCAAGTCTGCAATCAGCAGTGTGAGAAGGTGAGAGTGAGGGAGAAAGAGTCAAAGCTAAGGTTATCTTTTGATGTCCTAATAGGGTAATCACAAGCTTTCTCATCTTTAGTTGTTTTGAACTGGAAGTCTTTAAATGCTTGGCATTCTTGTATTTGTTTTACTATTCTGTCTGTGAATTTCCTGCCTTTCAAAGTTAGAAAAAGCCAACCAACCAGAAAACATTGACAGTACCACAAAATGTGAATTGCTTGGTAGAGGAAAGTAGTCAGGTTTTTAGAAGGTCAGATTGATTGTCTGCGTTATACTCACGCTGCCTCTGACAGAGATGAACCAGTGATGCATTTGGCCAATTATAGTCACCTTTTCCAGTAAAGTGGCTGCGATTTTTATAATCCATATGGAATTATTTTTCTCTGTGTGTACTGAAGGTAAAAAGATCCAGGAGGAGGGAGGAATATAAATATGAAGCAAAGGTCAACATTCAGGTCACATGTCTCATAAAGCTACAGATAGCTAGTTTTCTTCAGTGAGAGCAATACCACACTAAAGGTTATTTTCCTAGATAAGGGGGATTTGTAGTTCAAAGACAATGGGAAAATTGTTGCCCACTAGGAAAGCTGTCATGGTAAAGTAAGAAATCTTTTCCCTTATACTACTTGTAAATCAGAAGCAAGAACATCAAAATAGCTTTTTGTCAACTGAGCTACATCAAATATTTATACAAACCAGGGAAAATAGCTTTTTGTGCACAGTAGGATGCCTTAATAAAAAGTGCAGTGCTAATGGAGCATTTTCAGAGTAAGAACAGTGATTGTAACCTTTTTTTTAAGAAAGAGTGAAGTTATGTCAGTTCAAGAGTAGAGATTGGAAAGTGATCCCATATACAGCAAAGTCAAAACTATTTGTTTTATTGTTCCTTACTGCTGCATTGCAAATACTGCGAAAATCTGGCTCAGTACTGGGGGCAGTTCTCTTTAATGTCTTTATCAGTGATCTGGATGGGGTCAAGTGCACCCTCAGTAAGTGTGCAGATGATACCAAGTTGGGTGGAAGTGCTGATCTGCTTCAGGCTCTACAGAGGGATTTGGACAGGCTTGATTGGTGGGCTGAGGCCAATTGTATGCGGCTCAATAAGGCCAGGTGCTGGGCCCTGCACCTGAGTCACAACAACCCCATGCAATGTTACAGACTTGGGGAAGAGTGGCTGGAAAGCTGCTCAGCAGAGAAAGACCTGGGGGTGTTGATTGACAGACAGCTTAATATGAGCCAGCAATATGCTCAGGTGGCCAGGGAGGCCAAGAGCATCCTGGCTTGTATTAGCAATAGTGTGGCCAGCAGGACTAGGGAAGTGGTCATCCCCCTGTACTTGGCACTGGTGAGGCTGCACCTCCAGTACTGTGTTCAGTTTTGGGTCCCTCACTAAAAGAATGACATTGAAGTGCTGGAGCATGTGTAAAGAAGAGCAACGAAGCTGGTGAAGGGTCTAGAGCAGAAGTCTTATGAGGAGGATCTGAGAGAGCTGGAGTTACTTAGTCTGGAGGAAAGGAGGCTGAGACCTTATCCTGAAAGGAGGTTGTAGCCAGGTGGGAGTTGGTATCTTTTCCCAAGTAACATGCAATAGGATGAGAGAAAATGGCCTCAGTTTGTGCCAGGGGAGGTTTAGATAGCATATTGGAAGAAAATTCCTCACTGGTCAGCACTTGCATTCAACCTGCTTTGAGCAGGAGATGGGACTGAAGACCTCCTGAGGTCACCATTCCTCTGAATTATTCTGTAATTCTGTGAAACTGAGTCCTGAATGAAATAGTGCTTCTTTCTCTCCATCAGTTCTGAAGAGAGCCTTGGGATGACTATCTTAGCTTTAGATCTGAAAATCATTAAAATCTAATGATAGATTATGTGATTCTCACCTAGTGGGCCAGCTCTGGAACATATTACTGTAGGCTTAAGTTATTGCAGAATCTAGAGCATCTGTGTGATGATAGTATTGCAGGTAGATTCAGTGCATCTGTCTGTCTCCTTGCCTTTTCACACCTCTGTATAAGAGTTCCCCTGAAATTCCTACTTATTCTGACACCATAGCATGGATTATATGTGCCTTTTCTCCAAAATATGACCACGTTATCTCTATTCTTGCTGCTTTCTCCTTCCCCCCAGTTATTCTGAGCATCCCAAATGTTTCACATGCGAATGAATGAATGACCTTTACCTCCCCCTTTATTCTGAAAGAGTAGTAAATGGCCTGTAAAAGGGAAGTTGTACAGCCAAGGTGTGAGAATTGGCAGACATGCATTCATGGCATTAAAGTTTAAACATTGTGGTGCAACAAGTAGAGAGGAGAATTCATTATGGTGAAGGGGGAAATCTTCATCAAACAGTTCCTCTTGCAGAGTTTTTGACCAGCATCACTATAGAGCAGACACCCATATGCAGCAGCTCTCATTCCGTTATAATTTTTCCCCTTCAGGTTTCTTATTTTCTACAGGTTTCTTTCCTGGCCAAAAAAGTGAATGGATCTTAGGATTGACTGAATGTAGCATTCAACAGTAATCGTTGTACATCCGATGAAGTGCAGTCAAGTTTATCTGCTGCCTGTAGGGTCTCACGAGCTCAGCTATTAGTTTCTGAAGCATTACGTATGTGCCATAATGTTCACATATGTGGAAGCTGTGAACTGCATGAGTGGAATGTGCTGCAGAGTGAAACATAAATGATGATTTATGAGTGAGTGTAAACACACGCATGCTGATTGTGTTTTGATCGCTTGTTAATTAGCTGGCAAATGCGTAGGGCAAGCTCATGCTGCGGTTGTGCCAACAGTGTGACACTGAATTCCATTAAGAGACTTCAGGATACAGGATTACAGTACACCAGCACTGTACAAAGCTTCCTGGCAAGACATGGGTGTCTGTGTCTATTGCAGCCTTAGGTGCCATCCTGTCATCCCTGGCTTGGAAAATCAAAGGGTTATTTGGCTGTTATACATGCTAAAATAGATTTGGAAGGGTGTGGTTGTTGGAACATGATACACAGAAGTTAAGCTGGTTCCAGCTTTAAAATGTAGGGTCTAACAAAGTGCCATTTCTAAATTAAATACAATGGTTAACCTTTGTAGCCATTTTTAATGTGGCAAGCTTGTTGTCCCTACATTTCTAACCTACAACCATCTATTTGGTGATCTGGCCTGTTACTTAAAAGCAAACATGTCAGTTCTCCTCACTCCAATGAAAGATTCATTTAGAGAGTAGGATCATTGCTTTGTAGTCCAGTTTGGCCTCCTTGGAGCAATGTGTAATACTGGCTCATAGCAATGGTGAGAAGTGTTCATCCCTTTATATTATAAATGGAATTACAGGAAACTTGCTGGGGAGACAGTGTAAAGATACACTTGTATTCTATTTCTTTGAGTCTCCCAACAGAATCCCAAGGAGAGTCCCTAGGAAGTGGTTTACAACAGTTTTATTTCACAAACAAATGAAAAAAAAAATCCTATTGCCTTTCAGATACAAGTATTTGCATCTTCTCACTTACAACTTAATGACTTCATTGAAAATGCAGCAAGAGAGTAGTGGACCATGCAAATAGAAGCAAAGGGGTGTGCAAATGCTTTACATCTGCAACAAGAGTCTTGCTACAGTGTGCTTGTAAACGTAAGCCTCCAACTGTAGGAGTCTAGTATGTTGTGGGCAAAGCCCACAGCAAATTTATTATTTCCAGATAATAAATTTAATTTAGATCATGTAATGATATCAGAAGATGTTGACTGAGATTGTGTCTGCAAAAGGTAAGAAGCCTCTTAATCCTCTTCACTGCCTCCTCTGTGAAAATTGGTTCTGAGTTTGATACATGTTTTCCCTTGGCGGCAGTGATGCCTTTCCTCTGGCATTTCTTGACCTCCTATTATCCATCAGGGAAGAAGGCAGGAGGACCTGATGAAACAACTTAAGAAGACTTATACAGAAGACTCTCCTGTCTGTTCAGGAATCTTATCAGTCTGGCATGTGTAGTTGCTTTTCAAAAACATGTATCATACCATTGCAAGGAATGTAGTTTTCCTAAAGATGTGAAGAAACTATCATGCAAAATACAACACTTAGGGAGGGGATAAGCAAGGTCTTTATAATGAGTCATACAGGGTAAATGTATTATTTAAACTAGAAAATCTGAAAAACAGGTGTTTTGACAATGTGAGAGGAGTTTTTTATGCTCATAAAGGGTACAGTACTGCTTGTTTACAGGTTGTTTTTTTTAAATACAGTTCTGCTGCTTCATCTTTTAGCTAATTTTTGTAAGGAAAGGTAAGTGAATTATTTTTTTTTTCAGTTATTCTGTTTTTTTTCTGTCATGGAGCTGACAAAACTCAAGTACTTGCCTATGGAAGTGATTGCTGATTCTGGAGTACACAGCTAAGTTGAAGGAGAAAGTGCTGCTCAAATAACTTCCATAGTATCTGTTTGAAAAAAGGCTGAACATGCTGGGAATGCAAATGAGAATAGAGAGCCACTAAACCAGATGGTCAAAATGCCTTCATAAATTGATTAAATAGTTATGAATATATCTTTTCTTTCACACTGTTCAGATATGCCAGAACATCCTCAGTCCATGTAGATCACTATAATTGCAACAGCTGGTCTGTATGAAGGATTCTGACTTGTGAGAATGAATTGATACAGTCATTCATATCAGTGTACCTTCAAAAACCTTGAGAAGTTGACATAATATATGGTCTTTATCCCTGAAAATTTGTGTATAACTTCAAGTAGGTGAGCTGAACTGAGGTCTGAATTAATTTTGCCTGCTCAAAATAGGAGAGCTGTGTTTTTTCGAGGACAAACTGAAATAACAGAGTGGACAGTGAGATTTGCTATTAGAGTAGGAGCTCTTAAAAACCACTGAAGTTATTAATCTCATTCATTTAATAGAGATGGACTATCAGAGTAAGAAGCTCCATGCACTTTTTTGTTAACAGCCTCAGAAGAATTTGTTATTAATAAATTCAAATGCCTTACTACACATGGGGTGCCTTCTATAAAACTTACAGATAACCTTGTGTTTTCCCAGATTCTTTACATGGGACAATGGATGGAGTATTTCTCTTTGAAGATGTTGCTGTGGAAGACAACAAAACCGTGCAGGGCTATGATGCAATTGTTGTAGAGCAGTGGACTGTCTTGAAGGTATGTGTGCAGTTTTCCTTCTTTGATTTTTTTGTAAATTAAAGCACTCCCAAGACTCTGAGGCAGACTCTCGTGTACAGATCTGTGCTTCAACAGTACCAGGCAGGCAACTGCGGTAAAGGGTTTGTATGATGTGTGTGTACCAGTACAGGTTGGGGGCTGACCTGCTGGAGAGCATTGCCAGGGCAAAAGGGACCTGGAGGTCCTGGTAAACAGAAGGGTGACCATGAGCCAGCAATGTGTCCTTGTGGCCAAGAAGGCCAATGGCATCCTGGGGTGTATTAGAAAGGGTGTGGTTAGTAGGTTGAGATAGACATTCCTTCCCCTCTTCTCTGCCCTGGTGAGGCCACATCTGGAATACTGTGTCCGGTTCTGGGCCCCTCAGTTCAAGAAGGACAGGGAACTGCTGGAAAGAGTCCAGCACAGAGCCACAAAGATGATGAAGGGAGTGGAACATCTCCCTTATGAGGAAAAGCTGAGGGAGCTGGGTCTTTTTAGCTTGGAGAAGAGGAGACTGAGGGGTGACCTCATCAATGTTTACAAATATGTGAAGGGACAGGTGTCAGCTGGACAGAACTAGGCTCTTCTCAGTGATGTTCAATAATAGGACAAGGGGCAATAGGTGCAAGCTAAAGCATAGGAGGTTCAGGTAAACATGAGGAAAAGCTTTTTCACTGTGCAAGTGACAGAGCACTGGAACAGGCTGCCCAGAGAGGCTGTGGAGTCTCCTTTGCTGGAGACATTCAAAAACCACCTGGATGTGTTGCTGTGTGATGTGCTCTAGGTGATCCTGCTCTGGCAGGGGGGTTGGACTAGATGATCTTTCAAGGTCCCTTCCAACCACTAACATTCTGTGAATCTCTGTGCTTTATTAGGGGGGCAGGAAATGTGAGTTTTTGTGAGCAATGAAACTCAGGGCTCTCTGTCCCAAAAATACAGATGTCTGCTAGATGAACTGTAAAGAGGGCCTCTTTTGGTTGTCAGGGCAACATGATCACACAAGTCACTGTTCCCACTGCAGTTCTAAAGAAGGCTGCCCTTTAGGTAGGCTTAGCTGCAGTAGGAATGCACAGATACCTGCATTTGCTTCTCTCTGACCTCCTTCATATGATGAAAGAACTCTATATTCTGGATAAATCCCTATTAAAAAAATATGTGTGTCATAGATGGGCTTTTTACTGATCCAAGTGCACACTCGGATCAATAGAAACACTGTTTAGATCAAATCAGTCAGTACCAATCTTCCACAGCAAATGTGATACACAGATAGGTATTTGAAAAGGTAGGATTAAAATTATTTGTGAGTTGAAGCAAAAAGATAATGGGGAAAAGAAGATTCCATTGCCTAATTCTCAGAAGGTGTTTTTTTTGTTGTTGTATTTGATTGCTACAGTCTGCCAGCAAGAGATGTTATGTATCTATAAAGCCATTGTCTGATCTTTTTCCTTGGCATATATTGTAAATTGTGTAACATCCTAAGAAAGACAAGCAAGGCACAAACATGCCAAAAGGATGGATTAAGGGAAAATGGAACAGATGCTAGACCAAATGTGTAAAATTCCAGGAGGCTAGGATTAAGAGTTTAGTTATTAGACGATGACTTTGTAGTTTAGCAAGAAATGACCATATAATTATGGCTAGAAAGTTCTTGAAAAACAGTGTAATGTGTTAACAGCAGCTTTTCTTGTGCTATTGTGCATCTGAACAAACAATTCCTACATTGTATTTAATGTTATTCCAATTATTAAAGACTTGACTGTAAGTTCTTATTCATTTTTAGGGTCAAATTGTGTTGTTGCTACTTAGGAGTGAGGTTTTGGGATAATGACAGATGGTTCCATGAGTGCATTAGGTCAATGCTGATCAAGAAGGCAAATGTTAAGAAGCTTTAACGTTAACCATATGTTAAAAGCAATTAGGAAAGGAATAGAGGGTGAAACAGCAAGCATTTGCTACTATGTACTATTCTGTAAAGGGTGGTTTGACAACACCTCATTTCAGAAAGTTTTGTTATCATTGTAATTGTTCAGAGAAGAGCAGGGTGGATGATCAGTGGAGCTAATACAGATAGCTTCCATCTTAGGAAGGCTTTATATAGTGTCTCCTTTCAGCCTGGAAAAGAGAAGAGCTGCAAGGAATGGAATAGGTAGAGGTCTCCTAAACCATGGGAGGCATGTAAATAGGGTCTGACTGTTTGGTATCTCTTCCAGTACAAGAACTAAGAATTATCAAATGGCAGTAATTGGGACCAGGTACAAAACAAACAAAGAGGAGATAAATCTTGTAATTCTTCATGCAGCAGCAGCAGATCTCTGGAGAGCCTTTCTGGAGAATGCTGCAGATTCAAGAAGTTTAGATGGCTTCAGGTGAAAATGACATTGTTTTTCCCTCTACCGTATCTATCTCAGTGTTCATACAAGCATTTTAATTCAGATCAGGAGTGCATTTCTTAAGTGAACCCCTGGATCTTCCCCACTTCATATGCCTCACCTCACATTACAGAATAGTTTCATATTACAGAAACTGGATTTCTTTCAGTAGAAACTAAGCCAGACATGCTGAGAGGAGGTACACAAAATATTTGAGGCAGGTATTCTACATGCTTGCACTGATACTTACTACTCTTCCTTAGCTGTCACTTGCAGCCATGTTGGAGACAGCTTTCTGAGTTAAATGGTTTCTTGGTTTGAACCTGTCCAGCTCTTCAGCATCAGTGAAACGTTCTCTGTCTCAGTGGGGTATTCCAACAGAGTTATGCATAATGGCCCCTGCATATCTCTTAGTTGGCTCTGTGTGGTCACAAGACAGTTGGTCTAAAGCTACATGACAAGGACAGCATCTGATAATGGAGATCCTGTGATGGCAGAGTGGTGATTAAACCACTAGGACACAACAGAAATTTATCTTCTAGCAAGGCCCCTTGAAGCACTAGAGACCAGATAGGTGGGGTATCATTTGCCTTAAATTCTAGCAATTCCATGCTGCAGACACATCTGGTCAACAGATTAAAGAATCAACCTCCCAGTGCCATCTGGTTTGTCAAGAGAAGTTGTACTGCTGTGCACCATGTCTGTGTCAGGGCTAATGTGGAAAATCTCTTGTTTCAGATGTAAGATTTGCCCTGTGCAATTCCAGAAAGTGAGTGATAGCATTTATGCAGCTTGTCAGTATGATCAGACTATTCTCTGCTCTGATTTAAGATTTGGATGCTGGGTGATCCCTGGCGATTTTGCTCTTCTGAGATCAAGTGCCTCTCTTTTGGGAACATTATGAATGTGTTACCCACCAACGTGGAAGTGGAAGAATATGAAGAACAAGCCTGCTGAAGGAAGGAGGTTGAGGAATGGGGAAACTCTTGCAAAGGTGTTACCCATTTAGAGGAAGAGCAGAGCTGACCACCTCTCATTTCTTCTCCTCTCATATAAATAATTACCTGGATATTTCATGCCTCATGCTTTCTGAGAAATAATATGCCGAGGAAGGTAAAGTAATAAAATTAATGAAAGAAAGTCTGGAAGGTAGGGGATCTGTAGGCACTTCCCCAGTGTTGTACCCAGAAGACCAAGTCACCCCTCTGTTAAACCCTGTCAGAATTCACCTTTATTTACCATAAACATGGTAGATGTTTATGGTATGTTTATGTTTAAGGAGGCAGAGGAAGAAACTGCAAAATGGGGATGTAGGGGGATAGAGACAGAGTTCAGTAGTGACAGAAGACGTTCAAAAGCAGTAAAGGCTTTATTTCTGTTATGAGTATTTCGAAGTATAACTATCACAGAGATAATTATGGAGCAGTGGTATGACTCATTAATGTAGACTTTCTTATTTTTTTATATAGATTCAGCTCTGATCTAGATTAACCTTTTCCATTTGTCATTTTTGTTTGTATCAAAGCAGTGGAAGAAGCACTGATGGGCAACATGACATAAATGTGTATAATGGATCCTTGTTTAAGATTTCTATCAGATTTTGTTATCTGGATGAGCTATGGACTGGTTCAGATGTGGTCTGTACTGAATGTAAATTTATTGTGCTGTATCCCAATTAGCAAGAAAAAAAACCCAAAAGAATCCCAGCCACAACAAAAGAAAGCTGTTTTAAAGGAAGACATGTAGCATGTATCAATGCCTTTAATAATAAAATGAGAAGCTTCCTAAATGAAAAGGTAGAGTTCTGCTGTTTAACCATATAGGCAAAAGAGAGGGGTTGGCACACCTCTTAGCATAGAAAGTGCTGCCTTTTTAATTGCTAAGGCTAATAGAGAAAACAAGCTGAACAGTGTGATGCACTCACTATGTGTGTAAAATGTCAGTTTGTAGGGGATGTAAAGCTGCAGCTGTCACAGTATGTGGTCCCGCCAAGCAGCAGACAGGATGTAATAGCTCTGAGTAATTTAACTCTTTCTTGTCAAAGCAGAGCTGTGGCATCCTCTGCAAATGACCACAGGACTTAAAATGGCAAAACGCTGCTCTCATCCCTATCGCTTTAACTCTAAAAATGTCAGGGCACGTTATTTCCCCTGCAGTCTGTGAGATCTAGCACCAAAACTTGTTTGATGGTTTTAATTCTGCTTGTGTAGGCAAATGTGGGTAGACAGTTCTGATTAATCAGAGCCTGCATGATTTCCCTCTCCCCAACTCTAATCTGTCACCTTCGCTTCCCCATTAACCAAGACAAAATAGCTAATGCTGTCTTTAAAGCTGAGTGCTATAACATATATTTTAGATTTCTGTGTTGTTCTGCTTCTGAAGCCTTGTTCATTCTGAAAATATTGTCCATAATTTACGGGGATTTTCTCATTGAAAATCTTCAGCTGATGATCCATCACTTTTTTATTTTCTTCTATATCATGTCTTGGTGTACTGGCATGAATTTAAATCTCAAATACCTCAGAGTGTTGTCATTTCCCTGGCAGAATTGAATGGGGTCAGTGTCTGCTGTAGACATGGTAAACCTTTTAAAGTGCAACATATCAGAAGATTAAAAAAATTATCCCTGTT